GACGCTTAACCGACTGCGCCACCCAGGCGCCCCTGTCATGGAACTTTTAAAAATCATTACAGTAATGGAAATGAGGGGAGGGCTAAGGAAACTAAGTGTAAGATCATTTTGCACATACGAGTGTGATTTTGGTTTTTGTTTTAATGTGTGCAGAAGTGCTTGGGGATGGTGCTCATTCAACCAAATAGAAAAAAAGTTTGGTCTATTCACCTCCTTGGGGCTCCTCTGTTCCTGGTAATCTGACTTTTCATTGGCTTCCCTTGCCAGATCCCACCCTGCTTAACCAGTTGACCATCACCTTACAGCTCTTTCCTTCTTGGCCTTCAAGGATTCCCTGATTATTATTCTTATTCTTATTATTCTTATTCTTATTAGTCACTCTTCTTTGTCAGCTTTGCCAACTCATCTTCTTCTTCTCACTCTTCCAAATACAGATGCTCCCACAGTTTTCTTTTTCTTCCTCTCTCCATTCTTCATAGCACTTACTCTCTGCCAGGTGAGTTCTAAGAGCTTTACATAGATTCTGGACAGATACAATAATTTAACCAGGTATTTTAAAAATCTTTTTTATGTTTATTTATTTTTGAGAGAGAGAGAAAGAGCTCGAGGAGGGAGGGGGCAGAGAGAAAGGGAGACACAGAATCCGAAGCAGGCTCCAGGCTCCACGCTGTCAGCACAGAGCCCGATGTGGGGCTTGAACTCATGAATCGTGAGATCATGACCTGAGTCGAAGTGGGACACTTAACCGACTGGGCCACCCAGGCATCCCTTTTTTACCAGATATTTTAAATATGTTTTTATGTCAAAAAAACTTCTCACTACCAAAAGGGAGTAACTGTTTTATAGTGCTTCACTTTTAAGTTTTGAATTGTCATGGACAATTACACATCATGGAAATTCACATCAAAAGGGAAATAAAATATAGAAATATATCCTTTGGAAGTTTCTTCGAGATATATTAAGGTTTTGTACAGTTTTTATATGTAGATAATGAAGTGTTAAATGTACAGACCTCACCTTGTCAAAACTGGTGTGAAACATAAGCAGAAGTCTCCCATTATTCATTTTTTGTTAGGTTCATATCAGACATTTTTCTATGTACTTGGAGTTATGTACAATATAGTAGTTAACATAAATTAAAGTGTGAAATTTTATATAAATTACAACTCACTGAAGATAGACCCCAAGGTTGGTCAGGCAGTTGTATTTCTAAATTAGTGCTTTATTTGGTACTATTACTATGAGAAAAAGGTCTGGAATTAATCTGTTTCAAGACTTATATATGTTCAGTGTCAATTTTTAAGAAATAGAGTCACCTGCTTATTATTTTACAGGCATTCTTTGATGTGCCAAACCAAATGGATTAACATAAAACATGAGTGGCTCCCCATAGAGCCCAGTCTTGCTGCCATGTCAATATTAGAAATTTCCTGCCCAGAACGCCCAGATATCGGCATGATAAAATAACAAGTCTGATGGTATCCAAACATTTCTAGTTCCCATTTCTAAAATCAATCTTTGACTTCACAATGACCCAGAAAAGCTGAGATACATTTAATTAAGATGAAGAAAGCTTCCTTGAACCTGACCTTCCATGAATTCCTTTCCTTCCTTTGATTATCTGTGACCGAAGCTTCTAAGACATTCTTTCCACTCTTATCAAAGTGCAAAAAGTCTACTTCCAGAACAGCACAATTTTCTATAAAGACCAAATTTGTCATTTGAAAATAATTTCCCCTGCCTAAATGCTCACTTTGGAGTGTCAGATTTGAAAAATATGCCTGAAGATTTCCTGATTATTTTGTGATCACTGTGGCCACTTCTTGAGGGGTGATGGCTATCTTTGTTTTATTTGACACTTAAATTGTTTCCCCTGAATTTATTTTAAGAATGTGTCCTTAACAGATTGAAAGTTGGCCAAGGTACCAAGATAGTTTGCAGGGGCATCTTTAGCTTTTCATCATCTTCAACAATTGTCACTTCCAAGATCTTTCCAAACAAAAATTAATAAAGAGAAAAAAAAAATCTTAAAAAAAAAAAGAACATGGCTTCATTTCTCAAGTTTTACACAATGCGTAGTTACTGTTTACAGTAATACAATTCTTGTTTTTCAGCAAAGATAATGGAAGTTATTAAATACAGATATAAAGACAGAGACATAGGTATTGATATAGGTAGATATATAGACAGATCCTGAATTTTTTAATGCATAAACATATGCATTTCAAAGAAGTATCATAATATCAAAAATAAATTAGAGAAGGTCTTTATTTGTATCTCACAGGTGTGTTAATCATAAATCAAACCGGAGAACTATAAATAGTGCAGAATTGCATCTGTTTAGGGTTCTCAACTGTGATTAGGAATCTTATATTTTAAACTGGAATAGCTCTTAGCTCTTTTGCTTTAGAGGATAATTCAAATGAATCATTTGCATTCGCGCACCCATTTGAAAAGTGGAAAAATTAAACTTTTTCTCTTTTCAATCTCCCAGGAGTAAGTTTTGCCTGGGTTTTGAAATTAGAGCTGCATATATGCCAAATTACAGAAGATTTTATATCTAGCTTATTAGAAAAATTACCAACAGGTAAGGTTAATGCATTCTGCTTGAGATTTCTTCCTTATCCTTAACAACAGGAGAAGTAAGCTAAAAACTACCCCTGGAAACTCTTTATATCACTAGTTTCTTAGAGTCCTAGGACATGGGTGAACAACACTATTCATCCTTCATTTTTCTTTTGTTTTGAGTTTTAGTATTTATCATATCGACACTGTTGACAAAACTAATTATATGAGCATCCCTTGAGGCCTCTCTTTCCCACTGTCAATTCCAGCTCTAACGTAAGGGTAACTGGACTGCCCAGTGTCTCTACCCCTTCCCTTCCTTTCTCCTTGTCCCTAATCTTACTCCTCACCTCTAAGGAGATTCCCAGAGGGGGGAATTCTACAATCTCCCTTGAAATATCTGGAATACAGTGAGGGAATTCAAATTATTTAAATGCTATCCCACTTGTACTTGAAAAAAATTCCCTGTTGCACATCGTTTGGAAATGCTTTTTCCATGTTCAATATGCTGAATTAAAGATATGTACTGATTTTTCTTTGTTCTCTGTTGTTTTTAACAGGCTACCTTGGCTCTTTGTTGAGGCTTTGAATCCTCAGTTGTCATTTTGGCTTTTTATGCATATGGTTGTTTATCAGTTCAAGGAATATGGGTTTGCAATCAGGCCGGATTTGCATCCAGCTCTCTACTTTTTCGCTGTGTGACTTAGACAAGTTACCTGTGCAGCTGACCCACTGTTTTCTCATTTATACAACTGTGTCTATTGACTTACTGGCCCTTCTACTGGGGAGGCTACCTAAATGTCCCTGAGAGTGGTATTGAAAAGTTTGATGACAAAGGTTTCCTTATAGTGACTTTTAAATTCTTCTCTTCTCTTCTCTTCTCTTCTCTTCTCTTCTCTTCTCTTCTCTTCTACTTATATGCCCCAAGAATATTTTTAAAGTCTAATAAATTAACAATTCGGTGTTGATTTCCTGCATCAGTTTTCCCAAGTACGTGCTGGTAGGCTGTTTAAATATACATAGATTTATTTGTACATATAGTTTATATTTTCAGTTTTCCCGATTTATCATCTTTAGCATTGATTTAGTTCCACTGTCTTTTTATTTATTTATTTATTTATTTGTATGTTTACTTATTTATTTATTGAGAAGGAGCCTGCTTTATTGGGGGCAGAGCACTGCACGTGGCCAACGGATGAAGGCAACTGGAACATGGGTCCCTCTGGGCAACTTCCCCAGCCTCATCCCTCCTTGGAGCTGGGACACTCCCCACCATTTCCTTGAAGGCCAATGTAGTAGCTACAGATAGAACCCCTCAGGGGTGCCTTTTTGGTTTTTATAAAGAACATTTTCTTTAGACTTTTGAGGTCTTCATTTGTTACTTTCATTCTACGTTCTCTCAAGGCCATCAGACCAGCTTTTGTACAGACTGCCTTGATGTCAGCCCCAGAGAGGTCATCTTTAGCCATGATTAAGTCGTCCAGAGTTACATCATTGGCTGGTGTCATGCTGCTTGTGTGGATCTGAAAGATGCGCTGTTTAGTCTTTTCATCGGGCAGGGGGATCTCAATTTTCCTGTCAATGCAGCCTGGTCTGATAAGTGCTGGATCCAAAGTTTCTATTCAATTTGTGGCCATGATCACTTTCACATCACCCCTTGAATCAAATCCATCCAACTGGTCCAACAGTTCCAACGTTGTTCTTTGAATTTCTCTCTCACCACCGGAATTTGAGTCATATGTTTTTGTTCCAGTGGCATCAGTTTGGGCCCATCACCTAGGTATTTCTGAATAAGTTCAGAGCCAACCACTCTTAAGAAAGTGGCTGAGGTTTGGTTTGCTACTGCTTTGGCTAATAAGGTTTTACTTGTGCCAGGTGGACCATAGAGAATGACCCCCTTTGAGGGCTTTATACCCATCTCTTCATAATATTCAGGATGAGCGAGAGGAAGCTCCACAAATTCCTTAATTTCCTGGATTTGGTTGTCCAACCCCCCCCCCCAATATCAGCATAGGTTTCCTGGGGAGCCTTTTCTACCTTCATCACTGTGACCAAGGGATCCGTGTCATCAATGAACACCCCATGACAGCATGCACCTTGTGGTTGAGCAAGACTGAGCAACCTGGTTCCAGCAGATCCTCGTCTATAATGGAAAGAATGTTGACATAGTGTTCTGAGCCCACAGATGTAGACACGATGGCATGACTGTCATCAATGATCTCTTCCAACATTCCTACCAACATTGGGGTCCCCCTCAGATCATCCACCTTTGATCTTTCCTCCTCTTGCTTTTCTTCTAAAGTCTTCATTTGTTCCTGATTTCTACTGAAGTCTTCCTCCACAAGAAGAGAGTCTTTAATTCTAACTTCGGTAATTTTAACCGGCACTGAGTGTGACGGGTCACCAGTGGCAGCTTGCTGGCAGCACCAGGTCCCTTTGTTTTCTTCTTTTTCCCCACTCTATTTGGCACAGGAGGTTCGTATTTCATTTTCTGGTCCTTGTCATCCTTCTTTACCACCTCCAGGGCCACGACCACCACTCTTTCACCCACCTTGCTTCTGCCACTGAAACCCTGTTCCATTGTTTTAGTTTTCTACCTCAAAGACGCCTATTATATGTATATTGGATCTTCTTTACCACTCTCTTATATGTATTATTTTCTTTCTCATCTCTCTTTTTTTTCTTTTGATTTTTAAAATTTTGCTCTTTCCAACTTGCATATTTCTCCTAAGGCATCCCCTGGTATATTTATTCACTCTTGTTTTGCTTCTAGTGTAGTCTTTACTTCTGAAATATTTTAGTTGTTTATTTCTGAATTCTATCACAACTCTTTTCAAATCACTCTATTCTCAAGACATGTCATGCCTGAGTTTTGTATGTGATTTATGTTGGTCTTCATGACTTCTGTGTTTCTTAATTGCATTTGGCTCATTTTGGAACATTAAGCTATAGTTTTCACCCGTTTCATGGGTAGGTCCACAGGGAAGTCAGTGTGATCTCAGTCTCCATTTTCATGAGATACCCATTGGGATTCAACTGTTTTTCTTTCCTGATGGTCATTTTTAAGTGAAATGAATGGACCCGGATAGTTCTGCTAGCTTCATGGCTCTCATACTCTCTCTTCAGATGTGTTCACAAAGTGATAAAAAACAAAAACAACAACAAAACAGTCTTGTATTTCCTGAGATCTGTTTACTCCATATCCTTTCTCTCTCACCCTTTTTATTTGGAATTTCTCTTTACTTTATACCTTTTTTTGGGTTTGGGGGGGGGGGAGGAGTGGGAGGAGTCCAATTCAACTTGGATTCTACTCCTAGCAGCTTTTTCTCAGTGCAGAGTTTTGCCCTAGAAGGAAACTTAAATTTATAACTTTCTGGAGTTCATAGAGCCCTAAACACTTCAATGTTCCATCCCTTTGCACCCAACAGCAATAGCAAATTGGAGTCTACAGAATCTGTACCCTCCCACCCCAGTTTCACATACAGTCCTCAGATGGCACACTTCACTCTCTAGTGAGTACCTGGGGGCGATTTTGTAGGTTACCTGTTCTTTGGTTATCAAGTAGCCCCACTGTTTTCCCTCGTGATGCTGATACCATACAGGTCTCAAAACTGTTGTTGCTTATTCCCACTCATATTTGGGATTTGTAAGGATCTCATGTCACATAATCATAGGGTTTTAAGCTTTGCCATTCTAATTATTGTATCTCTTATAGTGGGATTCAGAGTGATTAAAAAAACTGTATCTCCTGAGTGCATGTTTACTAATAAACTTATTTTATAGGTGCCATTTCCATTCCAAAAAGCTCTAAGTGAGATCCCATTTAACCCATAAAATAATACATCTTATACTGATATGCTCTGGGACAGGCTTATACCCGGTAAAAATTATTAATCTATTATTTCAGTTATCTAAGTGAATTAGACTGATGGTACAGTGCAGTGTCAATCAGTCATTAAATTAGTGGTGAAACTGATTGACTAATAAAAGAATAGAGTTGACTGATGACTCCCTAGATATCTAACAGGAATTGAAAATGACAGATTACAACTCCCAGTGTGATAAGGTAATTAATTTGACACCATCAGACAAGAGAAGGTAACAAGGGGGAAACGTCATTAAAAGTAGTATCTAATAACAAAGATACCTTTATGATCTTTACTCACTTTGTCGCAGAAGACCTTGATCTGGCAGTAAGCTCTATGAATGGGCTTATTGCTACGATTATTATAACTGTATGTATCAATCTGAATCATCAAAGGAAGTCCTTTCACCCCTTTCTGGGACGAGAAATCTGTACTCAGGCAATTCACAGTGATGAAAATCTGAGGGTGGGAGAAAGAAAGGAAAAGGTCACAAGTCACCGTAAAAAGGATCTATTAAAAAATGCATAAGCCTAAGACTTGGAATCACAACACTACACAATCTTCTAAGGACAAGTGAAGAACATTTGGATACGCTGAAATAAGAACATGCTGAGCACATGAAACATTATATATATCGTAGTTTATAATTTAAATGTATAAAAATTGTTGCTTTCTTATTAAATCTTGAAATAGACAATTGATGCTTTCCTTTAGGCATATCAGCAAAGTTTTACCTATGTTTCAAACATGCATAAATCAGATGTGTAAACCACTATCTCTTCAACATATTAAAGCTGTCACTTCTAATATTACATCACTGTCTCAAATCTCTGACCTGTGGGATAAAACAAAACCAAAAACAAAAGTAGGGAACATTTCCCCTTGCACACTACTGCATTGAAATAGTTATTTGTTTATATATCTGTTTTTCCTCCTTGACTATTAATTTTGAGATTTGAGACCATTTCTTACTATTTTTGTATTAGGCGTACCTAATGTAGAGTGTGGTGGAGAACAGGCATTCAATAAACATGTGATGAATCCATCAATAAGTTTATCTGTAGAAAAACCCCTAAGTTTTATTTAAGTTTATTTAATTAAAAAAATTTTTTTTAATGTTTATCTTTATTTTTCAGACAGAGAGAGACAGCATGAGCGGGGGAGAGGCAGAGAGAGAGGGAAACACAGAATCGGAAGCAGGCTCCAGGCTCTGAGCTGTTAGCACAGAGCCCAATGCGGGGCTCGAACTCGTCAACCGCAAGATCATGACCTGAGCCAAAGCTGGACGCTCAACCGACTGAGCCACCCAGGCGGCCCAAGTTTATTTAATTTTTTTTAGTAATTTCTACACCCAATGTGGGGATCAAACACATGACCCCGAGATCCAGAGTCGCAGGCCCCACAGACTGAGCCAGTCAGGCTCCCCCCAAAAGCCCAAAGTTTTAGTTCTAGCTCCAACATTAACCAGCTAAGAGACCTCAGACAAGTCACTTACTGTCTTTGGTTTTCAACTTTTTTCTTAAAATTATTTTTAAAATCCTTCCCTGAAGGATGAAAATGTAAATTATTAAATATTCTGAAAACAACTGCATAGATGCATTATGTGACCCATGTTTTATTTGGTCCCACTGAAATTTTCATTCACTCTCAAACCCTTGACCTTTTGTGTCACAGCAACATCAAAAAGAACAGTTCTGCAAAAGCAAAGAGCCGCTGGCATGAACTGCATTTTAAAGGCCATTCAAATCTTTGATTTTCCTACCAGGATTGATCTAATTCATTTTAAGCTCTATTGCCTGTAGGTTTTTGGTAATTTATACAAGCAGATATCTCATTTTTAGTGCTTTATCAATACAAAGATCATTTTTTAATTTTGTTTCTGAGCCTCTTACTTGGTCACGAGAAACACAGCAATAACGCACCACATCAACAATAAGGCTAAGATGAAATGTCTTAGTGACATGCGAATTACAACAACCTTGTGCACTGTGCCACAGACCCTCAGTTTTCCAGCCATCATATGAAAACAAGTGCCTAGAGATGATGTAACCATGGATATCTTTCATTCATTCATTCATTCATTCATTCATTCTTATTATTCATCCTATAAACATCAACACAAGCCCATTGTAAGTCAAACATAACATTAGACATTGAGGGCAGAGAACAAAGCCAGACCCCTGACTCACATAGTGGACGGTCCAAGGGGAGGACAGAGGAGTAATCCAGTAATAACCAACACAGGGTGGTCAAGTACAGAGGTCATGAGAACACAGAACACGGCACTGAACCTGGAGGACATGTGTGAAGCAAAGCCCGCACAGACACTGGGATGAGACTATGGACTATCATTAATTAGTAATGGTAGAGAAAAAGGACTCAAAATTCAAATGTCAAGTGATTCAGGGGAACTGAGTGATAAAGACCACTGAGAAAGACTACACCAGGCCTGTCTCTCTTCCTGAACTTTCAGGGTAAAAGTAGACAGCAAATGCGGTCTGCTGCTCCTGGAGATGCCCTAACTGCAGAGAACATTGATGTGTGCCACAAATATTTTTAAATGCCTACTATGTTCCTGAGACTGTGCTAGAGACTAGGACAGATGCACCAATTGTAGTCCTGTAATCACGGAAGTCAGAGGCCAGATGGGGAGAGAGAAGCAACATGATGGAGCTCTAAAGACTACAACAACGTCGTCAAATGCTGATCTTTAGGTCAAACCAACAAATAAAAGTATACTTTCCTGGGAACACTTGACTTCTTCTATTGTTATTGTTATTACTGACAATAGGCTTATCTTGGCCAGAATGTATAAAACACAGCTTTCTATCAGCAAATCAATGACCACTCTGGGGAACTATGCCATTGTCCGTATTTTTGACCATGGATTTCATACAGAAATCTTTCGGTAGTGACTATAACTCACGGGGGGCCTCAGTACAGACTGGTTCCTTTCTACTCCCTCATAAAACCTGCCTAGTACTACAGAATCCAAAAGACAAAAGTGTTCTGATGTATATTTCCTAAGGTATTAGGGTTCACACTTGGGTCAGTGAATTACCCATACATCACACAGAGTGGACCGCACTCAGACAGGCAGAATGCAATGATAATTGTGGCCTTTGTCAGCTCCAAGTCCCAACTAAGAGAGCTGGGCTGATGGCATGTGTATATTTACAAGGACCGCTTGAGTAGGACAGATCCGCTGGCAATATACTACGATAAATAGACTAAATCCTCCCCGGTAGAGAAGGTCTTTAAAGGTCAAATGAGCTACAACACACGAGACTGTACCTGGACACACTTAGACTAGGTCCTTTTAATGGGAGAGATTCTTAGTAAAGGTCCAATGGGCTCTTTTTGATGCATGGCCTCCTGATCCTATACAAACTAAATGACACGAGACTCTGCCTTCTCTGCTACATTGAGCTGGCAGCTCCCAAAACTATCCTAACAGGGATTTTATAATAGAGTTGGCACCGCTCTCCTCTTACCTGGCTGCCTGAACCCAATAGTAAAGCACAGTTTCCGTGCCCCATGGTAGTAATCATAGTCTCACTGTGCTGCACTTAAAACCTAAATGGTTGAACTTTAACTGCAGTTGGGGACTAGAAGGGATGGGAAGGGATGGAAGGACATTAACTAAAACCCTGGCTTGAGAACTGATAAGCATTTATTTGTTTCATCTTGCAAACCCAAACATGTCCCAGCTCCACGCACAGCCGGCAAACGTGAAAGCCATTTTCTTGGAAGTTTATCTACAAAGTACTGTTTGCAAATGCATGCTACAGAAACTTAGGGAAAAGGTATGCTTTCTCTCCACCAAACGTTCACCCAAATGTCAAGCACAGAAAATTCTTTTTCACTCCAGTAGGAGCCCTGATTATGTAAAGAGCATATAAATGCCATGAACAATTGGGTATGTCACCCGATAATTATGAATATTATATACGTTCATATAATGCTTTCAAAACCTCAGCTATTAATATTCCTGTAATTCTGACAGTACGTAATTTATTTTTTAGAAAAATAATAATTAAATCAAGTGTATCTAGGCAGATAATAGATAGTATTATAATTTTGTCACTGGTTCAAAAATTGATTCAGATAGAAAGATTGGTTCTAAATATACCAAGACCTTTCCAGAAACAGAGGCAGTCTCATGACAATTGACATTTCTTAATAAACCCTTTTTTTTT